CTAATGCCTTTTAGTCGATTAATTGTCCGTCCCAAATGAATTATCGCTACAAGACCTATAAAAGACCAACTGGTATAAGCGTCAAATCAGTTCAGATCAGTCCCTTCAAAATGACGAAGYTGTCCTGTTCCCCAGTGTTTGTGCTCCTGTGCCTATCGTGTGTTGTTCAATGGACCTTTGCGAACGACATTGCCATGAAATTACTTGGAAGAACCTTGGAATGGACGCCAGAGCCAAATATTGTTGTGTCGCCCAAGTTGTTGATCGACGGCCTCTTTCAACTATTCCTAGGAGCAGCCGGCCACACTCAAGCAGAACTCGGTATTCTGCTATTTGAAAACACTGCAGAGAACGAAGTCGATCAGTTTRTCCCGCTTAACAACAGTGACGAATCTGAAAGTGTAAARCTATACACGGCGAATAGCCTCTTCGCTGCAGATAGTATAAAGATAAGGGATGACTATCAAGCAGCTTTACGTCAGATTTTTAATTCCGAAGCTCAATCAGTAGATTTTGAAAATCCAGAAACTGTTCACAATATCAACCGCTGGGTGGCTGAAAAAACCAATGACAAAATTAAGAGTTTTCTCTCAAACGTAAATGTCGACACACAACTATTGCTCATCAGCGCCATTTACTTTAAAGGATTTTGGAGAGATCCATTTAACCCGAATCTCACGAATAAAAAACCATTTTATACGCCGTCGAGAGAAGTATTAGTGGATACAATGGAAAATGATGGTTATTATAATTACAAATATGTAGAAAAATTAGATGCAGATGCTTTAGAGATACCCTATATGAACTCGAAGATATCCATGCTTATTCTACTGCCTAGAATTAGGAATCGTTTCGAGGAAATGCAAAATAAATTGCATAAGGTATCCCTCAAAGACATATCACCAACAGAAAGCGGTCCATTCCACGTTGAATTTCCGAAATTTAATTTGGACTTCCAAACGAGTTTCACTAATATTTTTAAAAGTGTAGGCATCGTCGATATATTCCAGAATAGTGCTAATTTCTCCTCCATTTCTCCAACTCCCATATTGGTGAGCGAAATCTTTCAGAAGGCCACAATTGAGGTTCGTGAAAATGGTACTGAAGCTTCAGCTGCCCAAGGTTTGTATCCCTACATTTATGAATCAAAATCTTTTGGTGATAAGTTAATTGTTTCAGGCACAATAATGCTTCCTATTAATATACCCAGCGTACCTGTTATATACACGGACTTTCTGATAAACCACCCATTTATATTTTTAATCAAAGACAATATAAATGCATATTTTGCTGGACGTGTTGTAATATTATAAAGATGTATAAAATATTTATWTTCCAAAATAACATACATTTTGAATTACATTTTTGAGAATGAACGCTGCACTAATACATAGGAAACTTTTGTCAAAGATATTTAGAATAGAAACTGCAGTGGTCCTGGTACATATTCCACATTTGGAATGAATTCTGGGTATTAACACTTAACCTTTTAACATATTCATCCAATTCACAAATCGAATAATGTGTATCAAATGAAGACAAAAATTATCTCTAATGTCTAATAAATAAAATAAATAAATAGAGATTTATGGYCTTTGACGAATTTCCGAAATTACCTGATGTGCTAAATATTCGCTGCGAGTTGATGGAATTGGACGATTCAAATAATTGTTTATAAATCTGTAAGTAATATAAATAATGACAGAAATTAAAAACAGTGCACATTGTTTCATTTCATTTTTTCATTTCCTTTGAGGAACTTTGCTGAAAGTTTTATATATACGTACCAAAAAGTTTGTTGAAACAAAAAAATAACGATTTATTTTATGTGCAGAAATAAATTTCTGAATATTTTATGTTGCTTCAGCTATATTATATATCGACATCGAACAAAATCCAGCAAACATTGACTTATAGCTAGTCTATCGCTGATTCTAACAGCTCTATTGTAGCATAGCC